GTAATAATATATTGAAGAGGGACCATTCACTACAAGCAAGTCTTCAGGAAAAAAGTCTGTTTAAATATAATGAATTACAGTCTATTTAAAGAAATATTAGCATTTTATATACATTGTAATTCATATGTAAGGGTTAGAACACAACTATAAGGATAAAATAAAGCATATTAATGTATATAAAGACTCTAAGAGTGTTATGAATTATTACAATTCATTGAATACATTATGATAACCTTACATTATAAGCTAAAGTATTATACTTAGATTATATAAGTATTATAATCTTAAAAACAGAGTGATATCTGTAATATAATTAAGCAAAAATATTTATTTTTAGTAGATAATTAATACAAAAGGCAAATTAATGTATATAATAATTAAAAACTCTATTTTTAGGGTTCTAATCTTAATAAATATATAGTATTAGTTTGTAATGTGTGTGTTATAGAAGTATAACAGATGTAAATAAAATACAAAGCAAAAGAAAATATTACAAGATCTTTTTAATTACAATTTTTTTAGCTGTCTTGTAACTAATAGTTGCCCCCTTGAAATTGAATTCCTTAAGATAATATTAGCAAAGAAAGACAAGATAAAGGTAAAAAAAACTCACATTATTAACAAAAGGCAGGTGTATAGATCCTACCAATTTCTTCTTCCTAAAACATCTTATTAGAAGGTGTAGAGTATTGTCATTACCTGACTCATAAATACTACCCCTAATAATAATAATAATAATGTTAGTAGTAGAAAAAAGTAAAAAATATAAGAACTTACACAATTTTAGCTGTTTTAATACAGCTATAACAATCTGGGAGTGCTTCCCTAAGCACTCCCAGAATTTTATCAGTACCAGCCTTACAGGATGTATATTTTGTGTCCTTTGTTTTGTATGTGTCTGGATTGGCCCAAAAAACAGAGGGGGGGTGGGTGTGGAGAGTGCTGTGTAAGATAAGAAGTAAGTCTGGAGATCTCAGGTCAAATGCAAGTAAGGGAAGGGACTTACTGAAGGTAATTGTGAATGCAAGTTGTTAGGAGTGTGTGTGTGCAACTGTAAAGCAAAAGGAACACAAGCATGTTATTGAAGTCAACATTGAGCAAATTATTGACAGGGGATCAAGAGTTGTTACTGCTTGTTGCAGAGCCAAGTCTGAGTGAAAGTGTGTCTGGAGAGTGCTGTGTGAGGCTGTAAATGGTACTTGGTGAGTTTATCAAAGTCAACATCAAGCAGATTATTGACAGGGGATTGAGAGTTGTTACTGCTTGTTGTAGAGCCAAGCCCAGGTGAAAGTGTGTCTAGAGAGTGCTGTGAGAGACAACAAAGTAAGCAAGATAATGAAGCAAGAGATACAAGCAGTGTGAACAGCCAGAAGACCTTGATAAAGCTGTTGAGTTATGCTACACTGCTTGCAAACTTCAACCTAATAGCCATCCTTATTGTTCTGAGTCTCTAAACAACCTTGCAAATTCTGTATATGCTTGAATCAGGCAGCAGTAGTGTATTGAAGATTACTAACAGACATATGACACAGCAAATAGAGTATAGTGACAGTAATGAAAGAATCTGTAAAAACAGTAGTAACACATGTAGCACTCTCTATCCTGTAAACTGTGAGAAACTGTGTGATAGTGGTAAAGTCAAGGATTGCTCCAAAGAATGCTATAGTTAGTACAAACTGAGCCAAGATGGAGGCATAGATGGCACCCATTAAAAGAAGATTCATTTTGCTCACTGTAAAAGTTGGTAAGATGGTAACAAGGAATCAGCCTAGTAGAATACTCACAGTACTATATTCAATTAGCAAAAACAGTCATACAGATGATCAACAGATTGTCATTTGCCATGCATGACTACAAAATTACCTTACATGTAAATAGTGTGTCTAATATTCACTACAGGTCTGCATAACTGTCTAATTTGCCTTCCTCATCATTCTGTTCTTCACTTTCAAGATCCTTGTCATTACTATCAGTCTCCTCCTCCTCTTCCAATACTTTACCATCCATCTTGTTGTTGTTTTGTTCTTGTAGTGTGTCATGTAGTAGGTAGCTATTTAAATGCCACATACTTTTGTGTCTGATTCCTCTGCCTTGATAGTACATGAACATGTCCCTATTAATGAATCTGTAGTAAATTGGACCAAAAATGACTCAGTATTAATATGTTCCAAATTTGAAAGCCTTAACAACATGCTTACATGTTTACAAAGTAAAATTTGTAATCTTTGTTCTTATCTTTGGGTTGGCAAGTAAGGGATGAAGGTAAGAGTGTCTGGACAGTACCCTTGGAGAATTGCAGGATTAGATGAGCACCTTGAAGAATAAGGTCTGGGTCAATGAATCCAAAGGTACTAGAATCTGTATGACAATAGAATTACAATTGAGGGAGTTGTCTCTTAACAAACAAGTCATTCTCATTGACTTTCATCCAGCAAACCTAAGCAAAATTGAGCTGATTAAAGTTTTGGAAGTTGGGGTCAGCCCCTAGACCTATATAACTGACCTCTGTATGAAAAAGTCTGATTATTTGAGTGTAAATGTAGGGATGTTTGGTGTTATCTAATAGTAACATAATATCAGTATACATCTGTGGATTGAGTGAATCTTAGGCTCTCCTGATGTTGTAGGTTGTGTAATTAATGTGTAGCACCTTGAGACAGAAAAGCTTGTCATTTTTTATGTAGAGGCTACATAGCTTGTCTGTGGTGAAGGCCTTGTCTTCCTGTCTTGAGAGAATGTGTCCAAGCAGGTGCCTACAAAGACTCAGCAGGAAATTCTAGCAAGTGTGTAATGTATCAGTACTTGTATATGTGAAATAGAAAGAGGAGACTAATAATGTACTCACTTGTAAAGCTAGGTCAGAATCATTATCTGAAAGCCACTGATAAAGATGGATAGAATCCTTTTTTGATGCTACTATATTATAATGGACTTCAAGATCCCTTAGCTTGATAGGATCCCCAGATCTATCATTAAGGCTGATACAAGAATTAATCTCATGTATCTTATAGGTCCTACCCTCTAGTTGTAAAACTGCCTTTACAGTGTCTTACTTGTTCATCCTAGCATATATGCATTTGAGTCTCCTATGCTGAGACTCTCCCTATGAAGATACACAATCAAGATAAGTATGGAGAGTATATTGTGAAGTAGACACTTAACAATTTGTGTACTGTATGAATCAGTTGTACCAAATTGACAAATGGTAGAAGTATATACACTAAGAGAATAAAATTTCAGTGTATTAATGTTGAGCATTTTAGTTTTCACACTAGATCTGATTGTTTTTGTGTCTAGTCCCTTTGCCTTACCCTTATTGAGTAGGACAGTTTGATAATGTCCTCAAGTAGTAATCTCCTTTAGGAGTTTGTGTGTATTGTAGGCCAAGCATACAGTCTTCTTGAAGCATTGTACCTAGTATCCCAGCAATGTTATTGTCTCCTCAAGGAACTGAACTGTAGTCTCTGTATGAATGTAGAGCTTTACAAGTGTATGCTAGGTTGCTAAGATGAATAAAAGGTCAAGGACTACTTTATTATATTTCTTTAGTAGTAAATCCTTGAAGGCTAGTATAACACACTAGGTAATACACATCCTATTGTAGTGCATATATATCAATAGTCTTGAGGGAGGCACTTACCTGTAGAATATCTTTGAAGTCTCTGACTGTAATTTTTTTCATTACAGACATATTTCTGGAAAATTGCCAGATTGTATCTATTCCAAATGTAGGAGTACAGTAATACCTAAAATATAATGAATATATCTAAATAGACAACAGTAAGGTGATTGATGAGACTGTAACATAGATGCTTACCTCCTATTAAGTATTAGTATGCTCTCTCCTCCCTACACAAAAAGAATGTGTAAGAGGTAGGTAAATATTGCTTTCCAGACCCCTAGCTCAAATTTGTACATAAGGTCTGAGACAAATAAGTCAAAGAAATTGAATCTGTGCTTACAAAGCATGGAAAAAGTGTTCTATAAAAATAAGATAAGTGAGTAATAAGGAGTATTGCCTGGATAGTAACAGTTCACTTACATTAACTAGTATGAGGGATCTGTCCTTAAGGAGATTTTTTATCCAGGTGGATTCTACAGGCTTCCCTAATTGAAAAATCCACTATTGTGCCCTAGAAATCTTCTCTTGCCATACTGTATCATTAATACATTTGCAAGTTTGTTTTTGTTGATCAGCTCTAGTACTAAGCATATGGTTGAATTTGGTTAGCATAATATCTGTAGGGCTTGAGAATTTGCCTAAAACACACAAGCTAGTAATAAGCATTCTGTAGTAATGTTTAGTTATCCTTGTGTAAATTGAGGTGAAGATTACAGTGTATACAAACAAGAAGATAGTAAATAGATACAAGACATACTTCTCAGGGTAGTCTGCTGAGTAAAAAGCAAACCTTAGGAAGAGCCTACATAATTTTCCATCTGAGTAGTCAAATAGAATACTAGAGCTGTATGTCTTAAGAATTTCAGGCTGTAAGAGGATATGGGACAAGACAGCTTGAAATAGTTTGTACTTTAAGTGAGTGAGGAGTTCTGAAGATGCAGATTGTCTATAAACCTTATTATATGTATCTTGAACTAATACTAGGAGCTTTATTAATGTAAATACTGTATGTTAGAACATGTATTACAAAGAACAGTAGAAATATAGAAGGAATGTACTCACTAAAGAAATATATGCTAGATGATAGCAAGCTGTCTACAAAGATTTATAATACATGTACTTAGATTAGCCTCCAAAGTATATGTATATTAGCTAAAGTAATACAGAACTGAAATTTGTAAGATGTATTGAGTCTAAATAGAGAATAAGAGGAAGTACAAAGTTTTCAGTACTGTCTTGTGTTGGAAAGCTTTGTACTTCTTTGTAGGCTTCCAACCAATAATCTGAGCAATATAGTTTACTATAAATGTGTTTAGGAGGGGAGTTGTACTTAAGGAAGAGGAGAGATAATTAAGGGTCAGTAGAAAGTTTGTTATACAGCTCTAATACTACACATACTGTTAGTCTCTAAAGCTCCCTGTAAGGTATATAATGAAAAGGAGGAGAACAAGGGTTGTCTAAGGCTTTGAAGATTGTTGTTAGTAAGGGCTAGTAGTGTATTCTCCTGACTTTGAATTCAGGAGCTCTTTCTTCACCCCTAGGCCACTTCTTGTTGTCTTCAGAAGGTAGCTTGATCTTAACTAATTCTTCACACTAGTCATCAGAATGGGAAGACTTAGGGGAATCATTATTGTAGTGTGAACTGTTAATGTATGAATTCTCCCACCTTACTCTGTAGTCTACTAAGTCTAATAGCTTGAAGTCTGGATAAAGCAAGACTTTGTACACAAGAACATCTAGCTCATTATTTGTCTTTTCTTTCACTTTGTGATTTGCCCAGCTTGTTAAAAGGTAAGTTACTACATTATTAAACAGTACATATTTATTAGTAATAAGTTTAGGGAGTGAGGATGTTTGAGTCAGAGTATTACCTGCAGAAAGTCCAGGTAAGTTGTATAAGTCCTTAAGGTTGAGTATCTTGTTAGGGAAGTTATCTAGCAAATCTGGGTACTCTCAAAGCAACTTGTATTTGTTTGACTCAGACAAAAAGAGCCTCCTTCTTGTTCCTTACATGATTTCTAAAGTTGCTAGAGTTAGAGAGGGGACTCAAGGTAGTAGAGAAGGAAGCCAAGATGGTATGAACTTAAGAAGGTGTGGAAGAGATACAGTAGGAAGTACAGACAAGTTTGAAGTAGATGGTAGGAGATCTGTAAATTACTTTAGTAGTTGTTTCTTGTGTTTAGTTCCTTCAGGAAACTTAAGAGGCTTGTCAAATAGGGCTAGAACAGTCTGAGTATCATCCTCTACTTTGAATGCCTAGGTCTCAGCTACACAAAATGGTGAGCATTACTTAAGAATCAAGATACTATCACACATACCTAACCTTATTCTCTTTTTCACTTTGTTATTTGACTCTCTAATGTGTTTTAGAGAGTTCAGACCACTACTTGCATTAACACAATAATTGTGATAGATTGCTCATACATTCTTCTTCTTAAAGACCTTACTACAAGCCTTACAAACAAAGGAAGGCATCTTAAAGAGTTAAAGAAGTACAGTCTAGTCTAACATATGCTTTTGAATGTCTGCTTTGCTGGTATCTGATGTGTAGAGGTTTACAACAAGATAGATCAATATTAGTGATCTTTACTGACTAGGACTAAGATTTAGATACAGTAATATGTGCTACTACTGTTAGTACTCTCTCACAGTAGTGTAATTTACAGATATACTTACTATGACAGTATATGTACTTATGTAGCAAACTGTAGAAGAATATTAAAGCTCATATCAGCCCTTCTTAATTTACTTCTCTTACTACCTTGTACACAGGTTGTAGTACAAGTCTGAGACTGTGCCAGCCTGAGAGTACCCTAGAAAGTAGTAAGAATTGAGAAAGAAGACTTGTACAAGCTGTGCAAATCATAGTAATTACTATTTGTAACACTACTAGACATTGTTTATTACTTTGTATAGTTTATCTCTGTCTTCTTAATAATTTGCATTTGCTTTAAGTGAGCAATCATCATTTTTCACTCTTAGTACAAGTCTGAGAAGTGGGTCAGACCTCTTCCTAAGACTTGTATAGACATATACTCTATATAGTAAGTATTAAGGTACACTACAGTCCTACAACAATAGTACTGTCCTCTATACTAAAGTGTAAGTATCTTAGTGTAAGTAAATTGAGAAGCACTACTAGACTAGAAGGAAAATAGCAAGTGTTTTCTTGATTACTGAGTAGTATCAGATCCACCCATATGTCAACTTTAATAGTAAGTAGGTTCTGTATTCAAGCTGTACAAAGTCCATTATTATAGTTACAGCCTACTACATGTTATGAAAGATGCCTTCAATTCTGTACATAAAGCTAACTTGAAGTTCCCTAGCAGCTTAGCCAATATTTGACCCCTAGCTCAGATGCAGACTAATATTAATGATTTCAAACTAGTCAATTTATGTGTTTATTAAACATTACTAAATATACAGCTGAAACACTGAATTTACACATGTCCAAGCTAAGTATTTTACATGTGTAAGACTATGTACAGTGTATACAGAGTACTGGCAGCCAAGTAACTACATACTTCTTATTTTAGGTATATCAAATCCTCTCATTTTAGATACACCTACTTTTCCTAGTGTATTTTTACTAGATAAGTCCTTCCCCCCCCCCCTACAAGAGCTCTTATTGTCAACACTCTCAGGCTCTCACCCTTAGTCACAGTTGCCTTACTTCCTTGTCCTTACTCACTCACTCCTTTCATCCTCTTTCTATCTTTAACACAGAAAGTATTAATATTACTACTTGTTAACAGTATCCTAGTTAGTACTGTTCCTTGAATTACTTTTAATAACTTGCTGGACTTTGCTGACTTACTCTCATACTATCTCTAGCACTCTTAGACCTTGTTCTCTTGTCTTGATCCATCTTCCTCTCAAGTTACTCAATATGCTAGTTTGTTTTCACCTATACAAACTCAGGTTATCCTCCTCACCCTCTCTCAACCAAGGACAAGCACTAAGCCTTGACCTGAGTGAGGTTCCTTCTCTGCCAAGTGTCCTGCTACCTTCAAAACAGTAAACACTTGAGGAGAGGAGCCTTGTAACAAAATCTGGCTGTTCAAAGCAAATCAAGTGAGTCATCTTGTTGTTTTTACACACTATTACATTCACTTATAACATTTATAATGTACAGGTACAGAGACACACTCAAACGAATATGTTAGCTCTCACAGTCTATTAAGTGGAACATTGACCTTTAGGTTAACATTCTAGGTGCTATAAACTATAGTATAGCTGTTGAATCTCTCAAAATGTATTTGAGAATGGAAGTGACAGCTACAAACTATAACACTGAGGACATGGAACTTTGTAAGAGAGTTATTACAAATGCATAAGTTTGATTATATTCTGCTCCTCTGGCAATTACTGACAACTCTGTGTCAGTTGTGAAGAAGAGAAGGACCTTCTCTTTAGGGTTTATAAGAGTGTCCTTACACTCTTTTCTAATGAGAGAGCCTATTATGAAGCACTTTCTAGTCTAGAGGCTAAGGCACTTTAGGTTAAGGTACATGTATAACACAATAAAGTTGCACCTATCTATTCTATCATGTTCCTTACTGTTCTACTCTAGTTGACAGACAAAATAACTTTACAGTCAATGTCCACTCTACAGCCAATGTATGTGTGTGTGTACTATCCTCATCTATCTTCATTCCCTCAGAATTCATTCTCTATCTCTGTCATCAGACTTTCATTATTACACACTGTATTCTGTAGTCACTAATGATACTAATCTATTCTATTTACTTTAGGTGAACAAGAAAGTAGAGCAAGGTCACAGTAACAACACATCTACACTCAAACAGAGGGGGCACTACTATGTGCTCAAGGAAGGCTGGCCAGAACCACCAATTGACAATCAACCAAGTAAGATAGGCAGAGGTATACACTATCTACAATTGTTGCAGATAATTGTACCAATGCTACTCCTGTATACACACAGTAGTAAGGAAAGGTATACAGACTAACAGATGAAGTCAAACAAAAAATGAACACTCTTACTCATATTCTTACTGTATAGTTTTGAAGACAATGTAAAGTCAAAAAAATACCCAATCACACATAGGTCATTCCCTGCATTCCTGTATGAGGAAGGATCATACAATCCAGAAGTAATGGACAAGGGCCTATTCTGAGACTGTTTTCTTGTCAAAGTAAGTACACTCCTATTATTCTTTACAAATACTAATACTTCTTTTGTAGTGCCTTTGGCTGATCTTTACAAGCTCAAGTTCTACAGATGCTGAGCCTATTAGTAAAGGTAAAACAATACAGGCAAATAATGCTGAGATTGTAAGTGTGAAGTCTGTCACCCTAGAGATGATTGCCTACATATGTGTCAAGGTAAGTACTCAGGCTACAATAGTAATATAATCTAGTAACACTGACAATACTTTTAATATGATAGGCATGCTTTTTTATTTCAACACTTGAAACCTTTGGTAAGGTCAATGAAAATTTTAATTTCAAAGTGTTTTATTACACTATTCTTGAGTTTTTTGAAGACTACAAGTCTCTATGGGTCCAGGACACACTTAATTGGTGGAATAGGTATGTTTTATATATTTTTAAATTTACTTAAAGCTACATTAACTAACTACCAGGTTTCTAGGCAGGTTTTCGGCTCCTCTGGTGAATTGCTCACTATTGAACCTGAGGAGGACAAGGAGTCATCAATTGTAGCCATTTTGAGAGCTTGGAAGGCTTGCAAAGGGTGTAGACAGTCCTAAGTAGGAGGATTGGCTGGCCAGGGTCAAGGACTGGCTACTCAAACGTAAGACACTCACCTGCCAGACAATACACACATGGATGAGGTTTAGGTTCGTTTTTCCACTTTCTAATTCTACACATTGACATTCACCTTACTTGCCTCATTTAGCAAGTCTTGTAACTGTTTCCCTTGCTTCATGTTAACAAGATCAGCTGTTTGTCTCATTTCTTGCCCTGACACTCATACAGTATGCTTTCTGCTTTTACCACTTTTCTTCTTGCTCCTGCACCTGTTAGTGCTATAATTAGTATTTAGTAACATTGTAATATTGCTACGAAAATATAAATAATTTGAATCATTATTAATGTATGTAAGGGCGAAAAAGTAAAATGAATATAAGTAGAGTTTGTATATACATTACAATTCTTTAGTAAGGCTTCTGTCAACATTATAAAGCAGAAAAATGTATATTGGTTTGGAACAGTCTTTTAGACTGTTATATTAATTTGCATACATTATAATTAATACTATCCTTCCTATAGTATATACTCCTCATCATTTTCAAGATCAAATATAAGTCATTTTACTTATTACAAGGGATAAAAAACTTTATGTACCTTTATAATGTGAACAAATCTTTTATGCCTTATAATGTATACAATGTCTTTACTTATTATAAAGAACAGCAAGCTTTCCTTAGGCTTGAAATACTAATAAACCTTTTGAATATTGACAAACCTTTTGGATCTTATAATGCCTTATACTGTTTCTCAGAAATTGAGATCAATTATTTTGCATTTTACAGTTTTCACAGTATTTACATATTTTGAACCATTATAAGCTAATATAAGCTATAAGACTTTCTCACAATGCTTGTGACTTGGAGTACTGGCTCATGTGTACTGCCTATACCAGGATTAATGGCTTGTTTAGAAATTTAAAGTATGCAAAGCAGGTAGGAGGCTGCACCTCTCCATTGTCCAAATTATGAG